CTCACAGTAATTAAAAATTCACCCCTCCCTTCCTAATTGAGATTAAGGGATGAAAAAAGGGTAGTTCGACGGAGAATTAAATTCCCCACCAACTGACCCTCTTTCATCCCTTAATCTCTGTGAAAAATGGAAGAAACTGTCATGGAAATAACAGCGCAGTAAGAAAAATAATTGTTTTGCGGCGCACAGTGACTCCCGGTAATTAAAAATTCACTTCTCCCCTCCTAATTGAGATTAAGGCATGAAAAAAGAGCGGTTCGACGCAGAATTAAATTTTTCATTAATTAACCCTCTTTCATCCCTTAATCTTTGTAACAAAAAATTAAAAACTGCCATGAAAGTCAGGGGCCAGTAAGAAAAATAATTTTTTCGCGGCGCACACTGACTATTCACCATTCGCCCGCGAATTAAAAATTCACTTCTCCCCTCCTAATTGAGATTAAGGGATGAAAAAAGAGCAGTTCGACGGAGAATTAAATTTTTCATTAATTAACCCTCTTTCATCCCTTAATCTTTGTAACAAAAAATTAAAAACTGCCATGAAAGTCAGGGGCCAGTAAGAAAAATAATTTTTTCGCGGCGCACACTGACTATTCACCATTCGCCCGCGAATTAAAAATTCACTTCTCCCCTCCTAATTGAGATTAAGGGATGAAAAAAAGGCAGTTCGACGGAGAATTATATTCTCCATTAATTTACCCTCTTTCATCCCTTAATCTTTGTAACAAAAAAATTAAAATCGCCATGAAAGTCAGGGGCCAGTAAGAAAAATAATTTTTTCGCCTGTTCCTTCCTAATTGAGATTAAGGGATGAAAAAAAGGCAGTTCGACGGAGAATTATATTCTCCATTAATTTACCCTCTTTCATCCCTTAATCTTTGTAACAAAAAATTAAAAACTGCCATGAAAGTCAGGGGCCAGTAAGAAAAATAATTTTTTCGCCTGTTCCTTCCTAATTGAGATTAAGGGATGAAAAAAAGGCAGTTCGACGGAGAATTATATTCTCCATTAATTTACCCTCTTTCATCCCTTAATCTTTGTAACAAAAAATTAAAAACTGCCATGAAAGTCAGGGGCCAGTAAGAAAAATAATTTTTTCGCCTGTTCCTTCCTAATTGAGATTAAGGGATGAAAAAAGGACAGTTCGACGGAGAATTAAATTCTCCATCAATCGATCCGCGTTGCAACCCTTAATCTCTGTAACAAAAAAATACAAACTGACATGAAAGTCATGGGCCAGTGAGAACAATTATAGTTTCGCGGCGCACAGTGACTCCCGGTAATTAAAGATTCATTATTTATGATTTTTGTAATCAGAAAAGAAATGATTACTCGTAGTACTGTCTTATCATAACTGCATAAAACATAATTCAATTAAGAATTTGCCATTCATTTAGAATGAACATCGTCGTCTGCGGAAAATGGGGGATTAAGTTGATTGCATTTAAGATTGCAAAATTTGTTGAATTAATGAAGATAACAAGCAATTTCCCTCCTCCATCAACCGCTCTATTTTCGCTCTGCAACGAAATTCTATTTCTCTATCATTTTTACTGGAACTTGTGTTTTGTTTCGAAGACCGATGTTTTCGGCGAATTCACGAGCCATCCAAAATGTAAACAACAAACGGACGATTTCGATCTCAAGAATCGAAAAATAACTATTGTAGATTCTCAGTTGTCGTTTGGCTTTGGTGAGAGACACATGAGCTCTAACGACCGATTGATTTTTTCAAGTTTATTGTGTAATTCCCAACGAATTCGTGGCGGTGTATACGGGCGTGTTGTGTTAATTAGTGCGTGAGTGAATTAACGATGCCGACGAATAATCACTGCGTTTACCGTGGGTGTGGAAACAATTCGCAGAACAAGGATGTGATGTTTCATCGCGTGAGGTAATTAACTTGAACTTATTTTAAACAACGGGGTGCCAAAAATTTATTATAATTTTCTTCTCGGCGCACAGTGACTTTTCATCATTCGCCTGCGAATTAAAAATTCACTTCTCTCCTCCTAATTGAGATTAAGGGATGAAAAAAGAGTAGTTCGATGGAGAATTAAATTCCCCATCAATCGATCCCCGTTGCATCCCTTCATCTCCGTAACAAATAAATACAAACTACGACAAAAGTCATGGGCCAGTGAGAAAAATTATAGTTTCGCGGCGCAGTGACTCCCGGTAATTAAAAATTCACCTCTCCCGTCCTAATTGAAATAAAGGGATGAAAAAAGGGCAGTTCGACGGAGAATTAAATTCTCCATTAATTAACGCTTTTTCATCCCTTAATCTCTGTAACAAAAAAATATAAACTGCCATGAATCTCATGGGCTAGTGAGAAAAATTATAGTTTCGCGGCACAGTGACTCCCGGTAATTAAAAATTCACCTCTCCCGTCCTAATTGAGATAAAGGGATGAAAAAAGGGCAATTCGGCGGAGAATTAAATTCTCCATTAACTAACGCTTTTTCATCCCTTAATCTCTGTAACAAAAAAATA